GAAGACACGATTAGGAAACATATATCTCTGTAATATTTAATATAAAAGTTTAGATGTTATTTAAATAGTTTATGATCCATAAATAAAATATTATAATTATATGTATATCTTTTGAAAAATATTTAAAAATTATATAAAATAATTTTAACGTAGTGAAATATAGCACTGACTTCAGGTTTGAATTTTTACAATATTAAGTATAATATAATAAGTATATAATATTAAGTATATATATAATATATATTTATAATTAAGTTTTCAATTAATGACTATGGAATATATTTATACACACAAGCACCTAAATAAAAAAGATATCTAAATAATTTATATAATTAAAAATTTTGAAAAATTTAATTAAAATATAAAAAAAAATAAAATAAATAATAAAGTATATGCCCGTTCCAAATATTAATAATTATATGTATTGTTATTTTCTTCGTATATACATTATTATTATTATATAATATAATCATTTACTTCTTAAACAACAAGTCAAGAGGATTATAATGCACTAGTACAGAAAGAACTATATTTTGTAACATTATGTATTGCCTATAAAGTAATGATGAAAGTTTACGGTAATAATCAGTTCCCATTTAAAGTAAAAATTATGCAGTCCCCTCTAGAAGATATGACAGTATGAATATTTATAGAAGGTAGACTACAAAGAATACGATAACAGTTTGAACGCATATTAGAACCACCACACTTAACTGTGAAGAAAATGATATAAACAATATGGATATGATTTGGAATATAATTATCAAAACAAAATATTGGTGTTAAAGTTGCTTTAATCAACAGCTAATTACCTTTTGTCATTCATATGTATGTTAATCAAATCAGTATGATACTTTTATATATTGTTGTGCTATATATTATAACAAGTCATCTATAGTTCTTATTGGATGGATGCAATGACTGAAACATTTTCTTTTTGTAATAATGTAAAATTCATGATTATACTTTCCTAGAGTAGAAACTTACTTTAAATCTTTATAATTATTAATATGATTTTTCTTTTTTTAACATAAATCATTACTACCTCTTTTGGTCTCAACAGTATTGTTTTGGTGGAATTACGGAATTATTAATTATACAAGAAGTATATTAATTAAATATATAAAATATACATTTGAGCATACAAATCACTCTCTAATACCTGCTTTTGATAAGATACATCATTGCAGACCTATTCATTAAATCCGTCATCCACTTGCATCAAATTTTAACTTAAACGTAGAGTCCTCTCTATAAACTAACACTATAAGTGTAAATAACGATTAATTTTATTCATTTATATATACATATAGGCGTATTACAAAAAACATTCACATAATTTTCTGTATGCCATATTTAAGTCCGATACTTGTACAATCATATTGTCAACTTTACATTCGGAAATAATACTGTAATTTAATATTATCATAAAAGCCCAATAGAACTTTTTGACTATCTTAAAAATTGATTACACCTAGTATAAAAAATACTGAATAATATTTTTCTAAACATTAACAAACAAAAAATGCTGCCCCAATCCATTAAACACGGACTAGAACCACATGAAAGATACAATAAAGATTACTTGAAATTGTATACATGCCCCTATATTGTAATTTGTAATGTATTTGAAAGTAGAGTTAGGATAATCGTTTTTTAACTTATAGTTATAATCAGGGTCTCAAACCGGAACCGAACCAAAAAAAACAACGAACGAAAAGCGGAATCGAACCAATATACATCGGGTTTCGAACCGGAAACGAACCAAAAACCTAAAAAAACCGATATTTTTGCAGGAACGGAAACCGACATATTTTTTTTCTTTTGAACCGGAACGGAAAAAACTCCTGTTCGAAACCCTGGTTATAATCTTATTAGAAGTTGTCAAAAATGTGACGATTAACATATAGTAAAAAAATTTATAAGAGTTGTGTTAGACCATAATTTTTTAAAATATAATAGTAATAGGGCTTGATTGTTACATATAACTCCTCATTTGAAAGGTAAGTTTAATGAAATATAATATCACAATCGCATAAAGCTCAGTTTTCTTCGTTAATTTATAGATTTTAGACGATTACCTATATCAAACAGAACTGATTTAGATAAAGTTCTAGGATTTTTGAATGTAATATTGAGAAATGCTTGCAAGATGCAAAACTTTGATGTTCTAACAAAAGTTAGAATATAAATGAAAACCAAAACTAAAACTTTTTCACGTTAATAATAGACAAAAACCATTACTATTATTATTTATCACAATCAACAACTTTACCAAAAAGTCCTAACTCAGCCGCGCAAGATATAATGCTCTTTATAGTTATTGGATGAATTCCAACATTCGATCTTTATAACATGGCACAGTTTTTGCAATTAACATACATTTGAATAATTAACACAATGAATGGTTAATCGATATCTTCTTTTCCAAACTTATTTAAACAATTGGTTAAAATAAATAATTATATTGCAATATAATTTTTTAAACATTAACGATAAAATATATATTTAACATCTTATACATACATATATCATTATATTTTATGTGCATACATTAAGCATAATTGATTCGAATGTACATTTTGTTCATTACAGTGTATATTTGTAAATTAAAACAATTTAAAGTAATTGTTAAATAAAAAGTATAATATTATGTTAGTATTTCTTAATATTTTTAATGTTTATTTATAAAACCAAAAAAAAAATGATTATATCGAAAATTAAGTACATATCAGATATGTATTGCAAGATCAAAATACTTTTCTAGATATATCTTCGTAAAATAAACACTAAAGTTTGCAAAATTGTACTACGAAAAAAAAAAAAAAATAACTATACTTACTGTAAAATTATTGTAGTAAAATTAAGCAAATAAAAAAAATCAAATCACGTAAATAAATAAAATAGCTGTAAAGGAGCTAGGTGTTCCGAACATAAACATTAGGAACCATTAGACTCTGTATGACCATTTGAAAGATGTTTTTTATCATCACCGTTGGTTGCATTGGCTTTGAAATAACTTGAATCTTTTAAACTCATATTTTCTTCACTGCACTCCAATAACTCATTAGCTTCTTTTATATCATTTTGTATGGCTGCTATTAAGTCTTCAATCGATTTAAAATTGGACTCCGGCCTTAAGTAACCAACTATACATACTTTAAGCATGCGGTCATATAAATCACAATTGAAATCATGTAATATATGTGTTTCCTGGAAATAACAAAGGATATATGTATAATTATTCTAAAAAAAATATATGTAGTTATTATATGTACATATGGAGAGAGCAATACGTA